CATCTTATGTTAATGCACTTGGTAGCCAAGTACTTGATTAATGCATCTTGTTAGATTTGATAATTCGTAAGTCAGAAGATACGTGTCTGGTTTGCATAACTATAAAAAAGATAGTTTGCAAACAATAAGTATAGATAAATGTTTATAAGTAGGCATTAACTAAGAACGGTGTAGTTTTTATTTATTAAACTGTCGATTTATTTGTCTGATTAGATTGAATCTATTTACCCAAGTTGATGTGTTATGATTCATTTGAAATACTACAATTCTATTGGACAATTAAATCAAACACCAAGTTATGGCTCCGACAATAAATTTTAATCCGTTTCTGATTATCGTTTTCTTCGTATCTCATAATTGATTTTTTTAAAAAAAAGTAAATTACAGTTTTGTCTTTGAAGAAGATGAAATGTATAAAATTATATATTTCTTTTCAGGGTGTATGCATCACAAGTGTAATCGATTGCTTTCCTTATATACTTATACTAGAAGTATATTATAGTAAGTGAATAAAACAATGTGAGAAGTATGATGCCTTGAGTGTATAGTATTGTATCATTGTTTAGTATTGTATCATTGTTTAGTATTGTATCATTGTTTAGTATTGTATCATTGTTAGTATTATATCATTGTGTCATTGTTTAGTATTGCATCATTGTTTAGTATTGTATCATTGATTAGTATTGCATCATTGTTTAGTATTGTATCATTGTTTAGTATTGTATCATTGTTTAGTATTGTATCATTGTTTAGTATTGTATCATTGTTAGTATTGTATCATTGTTTAGTATTGTATTATTGTTTAGTATTGTATCATTGTTTAGTATTGTGTCATTGTTTAGTATTGTATTATTGTTTAGTATTGTATTATTAGCACCCACCAACAAAAAGACCAAGATAAGACTACACAATAATAGACCAAGTGACATTCGAACATGGCTCTTGTACCTTCTCCTTTTGTTTGAACGACTGACATAAAGTTTTCCGGATAGTTGTGCTAAATTTGCTACCTTATATGCAAAAACGAAAGAAGTTATTCTGTAATCAAGAAATCGCACTATGAATAGCAAATAAATTTGGCAAAAATGCGAATATAGATATAGTTAACGGAAGCTGTGTAAGCCCATATCGAACATTGTTTCCGAACATACGAATACAAATATTTTACTATGTCCAAAAAGCAAAAGCATGATTTTCTGTCAAAAATAGTATACCGAGTACGAAATAAAGTAAAAAATAGCAAATCTAATGTAATGTTGTAGTTTCTAACAGAAAACCATGTTACTAATTTCATTGGAAATATTACAGAAATAAATTGCTTTGTTATCATACCAGGAATATTTGTGGCATATGGTGCGATTTTAACCACATTTTGTAATGTTTATATTTATTAAAATCTTTATAGATGACGATTGTCCTATTTAAAGTTATTGTTAAATCAAATGTACAGTTCCCTTGTACCGACTTATTATTCATATAGAGCAATTAAGCATATGCAAGAAGTGGCATTTCTGCTGTCGTTATCGGAAGTAGCAATCATGTGATTTGAATTTATGACAACAAAGCCACCTGTCACATGTCATGAGTCACAATGTCGTGAGTCACAATTTTATCTGTCACGATGTCATCTGTCACACCGGAATCACGACCTGTCGTGACAATATTTACCGACGATACCATTGAGATTGTTTTCAGTTCCTTATTTTGTTTGTCAAGGATGATGTCAGAATAAGCACCGTAAGACTTCCAACTGGTATAACTGTACATTCCATATTTACCTGTATATACATGTATAAATAAAAATAAATTTAATAAAAGTTATCATGGTAGAATGTATTGAGTTAATATGCTATGCTCATCTTTGGATAAAATACTTTTATTGCAAAATTTTATTGAAATATAACGGAAATATTTTACCAAATATGTCTGATTTGAACAAAAGAATGCCATATCTGAGTCAAGTTAGTCTGAATATCAACTTCGATGATAACTGTCTTCATGTAACAATTATCATAAATTCAGTATTCCAAAACATAGTCTGGTGTATTATCAATAAGTCGTCACAAGTGAATGATCAATCAGGTGTGTTACGTCTTAAGCGGTGAACCAACTTAACAATATAAGAGGTTTCTATGCTTATGCTGCTTTTTTAATAATCAGTTTTCACCTTTAAAGCAAACCTTCAATTAACGATATTAATTTTAAAATATTTGAAAAAAGTAACTTTTTTAATTTTTAAATTATAGGGGTGTATTCTTTTCAAAGAGCATTGCATACAGCTGCTTCTTATTGGTTTTAATATAGTACATTAATTGTTTCATGATAATTTATACAGCACATATGTATCAAAACTCTGTGTGAGGAGAATTCTTAGATAATATTTAAACATTTAAATCCTATAACAAATAATACGGCGCATCTACTTCAATTAAAAAAGAGTCAATTTTTTTATAAAGAATAATCCTAAACCATTATTCAATTGATCATTTCCACGAGATAAATATTTGAAAAACATGTTAATGCCAAGTATTTCCATCTTCTTAGTATAATCAAAAAATAATTAATTGAATAATTTTAATACTTCAGAATGTAATCAACTGTCTTCGCTATAATGCATGACATTTATATACAAAGAACAAAGAATTGTACCACTCTGTTCATTTGTTGTATACAACAAAAATGGAGACTTCGATTAAGTTGGTTTACTTTCAAATATCAATGAAAGCAATCTTTTAATGCAATATTTGAAAAAAAAATATGGACAAACTTACGTATATTGTTAGTGTCAACTATTCAATCTTTCCCAAGTTCTCTCTATTCCATTGAAAATAGTTGTCGAAGATGCACATAATAATTCTGTTGTTGTGACGTTTATTTTGATAATTATTTTTTTTTCAGGAAAATGAAAAATATTTTATCATTCCTTTCTATGTACAAGAAATATTTTGCAATAAAAATTAGTTGTGGACACCTTTTCTATACTTACGGAAGCTTACCGATTTTGCATTAACAGATAACATTAATGTTTAATTATGACGGTCAAAACATCTACCTAAGGAAATAGTTCAACATATGTTGCATGTCTTGGTAAAATTATTTACCAATTAGATCAAGCCTCCTACCCAATGACTATTGCCATTTCACAAGTCACGAATGGCCGTTAACAAGGAAATATATCGAATAAATCAAAGACCTGCAAGCGCTGTGGTATTTTCTGATCTTTGCAATCTAAATCGTAATGTATATCTGTATTAATTTTCCTGTATCAGTCAATTTTCATATACTATGATTCATCTTACAGGACACAGATATGCAGCGACTGCGTTTAGATTTTTTAACAGTAACAGTTTAAGTTTGATACAAACAGAATTTTACATGACTAGAGTGGCATCAAAAAATCATTTGAGCCACGTCATGACAAAACCAACATAATGGGTTTGCGACCAGCATGGATCCAGACCAGCCTGCGCATCCGCCTAGTCTGATCAGGACCCATGCTGTTCGCTATCAGTTTCTCTATTTGTAATAGAGTTTGTTAGTGAACAGCATGGATCCTGATCAGACTGCGCGGATGCGCAGGCTGGTCTGGATCCATGCTGGTCGCAAACCCATTATGTTGGTTTTGTCGTGACACGGCTCATTTTATGTTCATTTTTTTATGACAGCCACACTTTATCCTTGCATATCGTGGCTACTTCCTTAAAAATGACACTTAAAAAAGTTGCCTCGCCTGGGATTTAAACATCAGATATCTCACACACTAAACGAGCGCTGTATTCCTTCACCACGGGGAAGTTTTACGAAGAAGGCCTGAATAAAATCATATTATTCTTTCTAAATTTAGAATTTTTATTTCGGGTTTGTAATCCTTATTAATTTCGAGATATTTTGTTCACGATAAACCTGTTCTTTAACACTGATGTACGTACATCTTCTCGCCAAAACAGTCCGACATGTATATATTCCACTAGTCGAAAGTCAGATTTATGTGATTGTACTACGCACTGAAGTATTCGGTAATCGACATCGCTAAAATAGCATTTTCATTGATTATAATGATATTCATCCGCGTAATTTGTGATTGTGCATTTATTGACAATTCTATAAGCCAACGCTACTTTTAAACTTTGAATGCGTTGTAATTTGTTTGAAACTTGTAACAAAATAAGAATATTTCTTTCTTTTACATCGCTAGTTTTAATTTAAGCTGTTTTGAGAACTACTTGTTGTTAGGTTTGTCGTGAAATTTTGTGCCAGAGATTGAATGACAGCATTGTATTTCTTGATCTGAGATCAGAAAATACAAAAAGGGAAGATCTGAAGATGTAACAAAATAGAAACTTCTAAATCTAAATCAAGTACATGTTACTAAAACAAGTTTCATTTCATAATTAAATTTTAAAACGAGCGAAGTTGACTTTTGTTTACATTTAAATTAGTTGTCACAAACATATTCTTATCTAACGAATATTGCAGTTATATCTAAACATTGTACCTGTTAACGTATTTACATAATGAAAACCCCGAAAAGTTTGAAAGCCCGCATATTTTTCTCGAAATAATACTTTTGCATGTATAACAGTATAGAGGCCAGTTTTCTATTGGATCCGAGGATAGATTAACATGTTTTCTAAATTGGTTCATGTTGATGTAAAATGTCGGATGGCATTGCTGATTTGTATGAATAAGGTTAAAAGTGAAGTGAGACAATTATATATGTTTATACGTGTATTTTATATATTATGTGTAGTCTCATACATTTGTAGATATATCTTTCTTGAACTGTACGTATGTGTGATAGAATAAACCTGCCAATTAAAATAAATTGTATGTGTAATTAAGTTCAACAAATTGTTCTATGGTGTAAGATGTGGTGGAGATTCAGGTTTTACACCAACATTGAAGACAAAATTTTTATTTCTTTTTCAATAAACACTTTATTTTTAATTTCAAACCTTTTATAAACTTTATAGTTCTTATTTTAACTAAACATAACACACCGTGTATATTCCAATGACTGTAATGTCCGAATCAATTATATCCTGGAGGTCACCGAATCTTTCACGAAGAATATGAATAGCTATATCATAATTCTCATTTGATAATGTTAGCCCAGCAATGGCACTTCTAGCTTCACCTACTAATTTTCCTTTCAAATAATTAAATTTATCAATAGGAGAAAGCTTATCATTTTCATGTATCGCACTGCGAAAAGAATCCCAGAATTCCGTCCATTTAAGGCGATTTCCACTGAATGAGATCATGTCCAATTTGGGTAATTTCACTGTATTTGTACCTTTATCTTTAAAAGCATGCTGTTCTTCAAAGAACCTTTGTTGTATTTCCATTTGCTCCTCATTTCTTCTTTGTTGTTTTTCAAAGAATTCCTGTTGTAGTTTAAATTGAAGCTCACACATATGCTGTACTACAGTTTCTGCTCCTTTACTTTCTAGTGGTTTGTATTCTACATTAAGCTTTTTCAAATCTTTTTGAACATTTTCAAGTTTATATACTATAGTCATTGCTTTATCCTGAAAGGTTGAATCATTATCCATGACTACTTGTAAGAATTCACTATCACTGTCTCAAATAGCTAATGCAATTTTTGCAGACTGAATAGTAAGTTTTTCTGTGTAATTATTGACTTTTTTCTTGCATTCGTCTATCCTATTTTCTATCCCTGCTTGCTCCTCAGCATCCATGAGAATTACATCTGAATATTCAGACAACAGCTGCTCCCCGTTTCAAATTTCTATATCTAGAAAGTTGTAAAATCGTGTCCGAACACCTTTTAGATATGACAAGTTAGTATCGCCCATCATGAATTATTCACTGCCGTATTTCGCTGAATAAAATATGATGCATATAACACTACTTCAAAACAAAATATACTCACTTTTTCTTTTTAATTCTCACCACGTGGCATTAAAATTCCTCAGCTATTTATTGCTTACTTTACTTACAAAGCGGGAATTTATAGTTAACATTCAAATTTGATATTTACACAAACATTTTAACGTAAAGTACAGAAACACATGCTTCATAATACACATTTATTTCACCACACATAAATCAACCGTGGAAATCAATTCAATTTTTTGAT